ATTCGGCTAAATGCTAGCGCACTGTCGGCTTTTCGTCACCGGTAGCTTCTCACTGCGTACATCGAGCATCACAAGCTATACGTAGGCTCAAATGACAATCGCAGTAGACAGCACTTGCTCTATCACAACAAGCCACTAACTATCACCAACAGTCTGCGCTAATTCTCAGTAGAGAATTGCTGGAAAGTGGTTTGGGACAATGAAAAATCTGGTGTTTGCAAACGCTATCCTTCAAGCAAAGCTGAATCAGCAACCAGAATATGAAGCCTTTTCAAGAGACATCAACTTCACTGGGAGCTTCGAGACAGCCGCGGGTGTTGATAATGGTCATAGGTCCAGTATTTTCTTCGACCTCTGCCGGTCACCTCTGTGATGTCGGTCGCCACTCGCGCACCTGGATCACGTTACATGACAATTGCTGGTTTCTTTTTCATACATACCAAGATATTCCTGTAGTGTAAGTGAAAGGACGTAACTAACTGTTGTTACGAGACACACTAATAACAGATACTTGAGACCATGAAAACAAGACACCACCGAAGAAGTTAACCATGTGACCGTTGTTTTAAAGACCAGACCTAGTACCACCAGCCAGTGGGTCTTCGTGCCGAGGATATGCCTAGCACATTCCATCTATCCAGTTGTCGACTAGCATCCATAATTTTATTTCATAGTTTTAAACTGCGCGGAGAATGGGCTATGATTTTTCAGGGACATCAGTGCGAATCGGAAACCCCCAATACTTTTGGTGCATTTCTGTGCTGCGATGCCCCGTCAGTTTTCCATTCTGAATTGGTACATGTTAGCCTTATGTCTGCTCTCACAGGTAGTATCAAGAAAATTTCGGCTATAAAGTAGTCCCTACACAGGAAAGTCACAGAATTTCATTATCATAGAGGCCGATAGTCTCAAGAAGCTCCTACGTGTTCAGCTGGAATCCGTTTTGTAGTTTTTCCACAATGTGTAAAAGAGCATTGTTAACTGGAAAACTGAAACCGCCCGGCAGTTATGAATCACCGTTGGCATAGGATTCATTCACATCAGGGCGCCTTTTTAAGGCACTGGGTTGCAAAATGCTGCCAGTAATTTTGAGCATCCGTCGTTCAATATGTTTAGCTCATCGATCGGACGCGCCACTAAAATCCTTTGATTTGGTCTGTCCTTTGTAGCTTTCGGCACATTTTGACACCACCGTCTGAATACCGCATCTTGGACACCTGTTGATGGGAAGTATTGTAGCAACCATCGTATCTAATCATGCATAATCTCTGAGCACCACAACATGACTAAAGTTCATTCTGGAAATTTCAACCGTTGCTTGTTCGTGTGCATTCATCTGCTTGGACAGAATCGATTCACACCAACTCTAACTACAGACCACCATGTGGGTGTATTCTGGGTTCAACTTATTGGTAATGCAGCCACCGGTCTATGCGATACGGACAAAATTGTTCAGTTGTCCACTTATGTGCCTGCAAATCTCCGACTTACTGCCCTGGGTATTCCGGGGTGTTGAGATTACAGCAGTGAAGACCGTAGCTGGCTAGTAGCAGGTGGTCACATGTGTGTGTGTATGTGTAAGTCTAGAATGAGTCTTTTGGGACTGGAACGGGTCACTGGACCACCTTTCACATGCGCTGTAAAACTCATCCGTTCAGCTGTTTGCACTTTTCTTGGGTTAGCAGGTGAGTATGATGATGTCCATCCTCCGATCCGGGGGCAAGGGATCAGCTGTGTGCACACACGGCTACATGCACACTTGGCACCGTCCAAAGTGAGCGGTGGTCCATTAGTCCAGTTCGATGTGACCGGTCAATCCGAAAACGCATGTCAGCCCACCACGTGTGTGTCATACATGCAAGGCAAGTAAATTTGCAGTGATCAGTCCGGGATCGAGGTTTGGCAACCATCATCAACAAGTGATGGTCGCTTGGGCGGGTTCAATCCAGACAGCGGTTAGCACCTGTTAAGGTCAGGGTGTCGAGACAGCTAACCACATGGACAGTCGATTCTGAACTCGGTTGTTGAACATCCGAGAAAGAAAAGTCATGAAGCCGTATTTCATTGACGCAGTTCGTTCAGATTTCGTTCCTTTATAAATTTATTCTCGTTAATGAAATTATCTTACATTTTAAGGGATAATGAGGTTGGTAAAAGGCCATTCTGCTTCATATTTCTTCAGAGGTACTGAGAACTTTGCTTTCGGCATTCGGCACATTTGTTGCATTCCAAAAGGGGGTGTGGTATCCGGTGTGTTATCACTGTTTATGACTCAATAAGTCATGCAGTCTTGAATAATTAATAACACCTAATGTGAATTTCCAAGCAATATGTTCTCGTCTACTGGTATTGGAACTGTATTTCGAAGTCAGAAGTATGAGGATAGTTCTTAGTGTGCTGAAAGCGACACTCTAACTTCAGTTTGATATCAGAGCTGTTACAGGAAGTGAAGGGGTGGTATTCTGACAGTGTTTCTGTAGGTATGTTCTTAAAACTCTTCTACTTTGAGTACGAGCTTATCATTCAGACAGTCAAAAACCGTTCAGTCTTGTCGTGCTTCTGTGTGGAAGAGAGAAGTCTTTCCATTCAGTTTCGAACACCGTGCAGCACTCTGTTCATCGAAGTTCTCCTGGTGATCTCTTGTATCAGGGGTATTCAAAGGTTACGGTTGCTGCAAGGGTTATCCCAAAGAGATTAACTATATCTCAACCACAGTGCAAGTGTATGAGTGCTCCTGTCTATTTGCCGGGGGATGAATCTTGAAAAACTTGAACCTTGTTAATTCATGAACGTGTATCCATACTATTCGTTCAATCCTCACTCATCGCGTCGGAGTCGGCTGCGGACCTGCAACCTTAATTCTCCGAAAAACTGTTGCTTTCTTAGTAGTGGTATGTCCTGGTAACAAAAAAGTGAAATATTCCAGTGCACGAGTTTCTCATCCAAGTCTTATTTAGGGAATTCATCTCCTTAGGGTCGTTTTGGAATCTAGGCTGTGATGTCTGAAAATGCATCAAATGCAACCCAAATACCATGGCACAGGATCGAATCGCCTTCACTTAATGACTGTCACTCTTACAGAGAGCTTGTTGGTAAAGCCTATCATAATTTCTCATAACAACTTCAGACTGATATTGCGCGTTAGCTTTGGTTCCCCACACAACTGATTTTTAACATGTCATCATTTTGGAATAGAGCTTTCATTCTTTCGATTTGTATTTACTACGGAAGCTTCGTCGGACCAGATGTAAAATTTACAGTTTTGTCCCACTTCTCCAGGAAAGTAACTTGGTACTGGCTCCAGGAAGGGTGAACACAAGTAGTACAACAAATAGTATCGTGTTAGAAAAATAATTTGATTTCTTGAATACTGTCCACAATGAATCACATTCATCTGAAAATTAGTACAAACCCAGAGCTTTAGCTGAGTCTTCCGTCAACTCCATATTAACTCGAGAATGAGCGTATACTTCCACTTGTACATGTATTTCTGTTCAAGTAGAGAATAAGATTGATCGAAACTCGGGGGGTTCACATACGTGATGAGCTCCAATTAGGGTGAAACTGGTAGTAGAGTGTCGAAAAGTTTACATCAGCCTTATTAATCGTGTCAGTCGGAAGAATATGGGTGTTTTGGACTACAATTTCCGTGTGAACAGGTCCAAAGATCTCGGACCCCACTTAGAAGCATTCATCTTCCAAACAGCTGGGGCCACACTAACTCCCTGAACTAGATGGGAGGTATCTGGATAAACGCAGTTTTCATGTGCTGTGTTCCCATACAAGAGTGGTTACAACATTTTCTCTAGATCGGCGAAGGATAATGGCTTCGGTGATCCACACGCTGTTGGATGTAAACCACCGTCCTCCGTTCTGATAGGACCGTTTTCAACACGACGCATTCTCATGTAATTTTTGCTGAAGGACATCTTTCGTCTCTTTTGCAATACCACGCTCAGAATAAAAAAAGCTTTGCTACTGCAGAGAGAATAAAGCGCATTGCATTCCAATTTTGTATGCAATTACATCTGGTCGATTAAGATGTGGCTGTAGACGTTTGTCGAAGATATCTACTCGATATCACTGTTAGATTTTTCATTCAGGTCTCTTAAATGTGCAAGCTGTTCACTGTGTCTTCGAAGGGCGGAGGAATACCAATATGTGATTGGTTAGTATCAGTTGGTGTTGATCAGTATGGCGAAGCCCTACGCTCATTATTACCAGGCATCAAAAAGCGTGTTAGTTTACCTTGACTACGGGAACCCGATCTACTCACTCCAGGGTAAAATTAACACACAGCAATGGTTTTTTGGTGAAGCTAGGCAAGTGTGCCATTTCGTCAGTGTTCGAGGGTCTGGACGACTCAGCCTTGCAAGTAGAAGCCTAACTGGCGCTTGTAATGTGTATGCGGCACATTGTTTTCCTATCATGGCGGTAAAATCTTCAGTCCCCACTTCCGACGGAGCAAAGCACTGTGTCAGTGTGACACGACAGATGGTGCTGTGTTCAGATTGTGGCAAGGTCCTTTGGTGGTCAGGTGCTTCCCTGTTTTGTTGGTCTCAGGCCTCCCACACCATCCACCTTCTGTCACTTAGGTGGTGCGTGTTCGCGTGTGACAGGGACTGTGCCATTTCGTTTTGTGGCAATGGGCAAACACCCAATGTCCTCAACCGTGTGCAGTGGACTGTATGAAACACACGGTTGTTCCTGCAGATGTGCCAGTACTACTCAGACAGCAGCCATTTAGGATGTGAAACAAAGCTCAGACAGATGGACCCCAGGGCTTGCGAGCAAGCAGGACGTCGTGTGCATTCGCTCATCGGATTCAACGATAGTTCTCCCTATAGGTGGAAACACAGACAAGCTGTTGTGACCTTTGTCTCAGCCGTCCACCGCCCCACCCACATTGCTTGCTGAGGCCTCGGTGAGTCAGTCGGGCTATGCGTGTGCGTGTGAGCACAGCAGGCAGGTTTTCCCTTGCTCTTATCGCGCTTTCAGCCAGCGCTTTTGGGACAAAGCATTACCACTCGTCCGGCAGCTGTGTGCTCCGGTGCTTCAAACCAACCAGTGAAAAACGACATCAACGTCCGACCCATTTACATATTTCGGCTCGACGACGAATGATAAGAATATTCCCATTTCAGTCCATGAATCGGTTTCAGTCCACGAGCCAATCGGTGTTTTTAGACCGACTGGAAAGAGCCTCATCCAAGGTGTAGTGGTCATGTTGAGTTAGGGTCATGCACGGGCATTAGGAGTCAGGGCCCGAACTGCTGCAGTGTGAAGTTAACCCGCTATCCTCTTATCGTCATGCACGCCGATGAACGTTCCATAGAGAGTATTATCTACCTGAACAGTATGCTTAGGCTTAAGCGCACTGTCCACATGGCTGTCCGCTACGTAATGACGGTCGTCACTGTTGAATTGTTCGTTCCTCCATATGACGACCTAACCCCCTAGTAGGACAGAAGTTGAGCAACTTGTTCAGTGCCAGTAGACGGCATTGTTAAAATTAAGACAAGAAGGGAATGAGCGAACAATATGTTTGTGTTAAGAGCATAATAACAAGTGCGTACACCTGCTGTGAAACAGCCTTCTAGCACAAAGGACGAGAGTTTGTTCATCTTAGTATCCCATACTTTTTCCACGGACTATCGATGTATTCACTATGACTCTTCTTGGCTTTCGGTTCCTTAAGCAAAACGGTTGGATATAGTCTTAGTTTTGCCTTGTTGTCGACTAACTGGAATAGTCAAGGGATGGACAGCTAGCCTATAAATATGGGATTGGTACTCAGTGGAACGAGGATGTGCTTTGCTAAGATGCTATGTCCTATTTCGATGAGTTTGAGCGCTATAAAATGTAACCAGTTTAGGAGGAATTTGGCACAACGAACTGATCTCCTTGACGATCCACTAGTTTGCGATGAGAATTGTCTAACCCAATTGAGGAACGGACAGAGGGAGGTATCGGAAGACCACTGGGGTCCGATTTAGTAAATGGGATAAAACTCACCTACAGGCTACTTCTGAACCACTAGCAAAACTTTTACACCACAGTTGTTTGCTCAGGTATAGAAACATTTGTGAGTGAATTGATGGCCCGTTCGCGCGAGTCACTTCAGTGAAACATCTGAACACGAAATGATGGCTTCCTCAAGCCCCGATTTCGTGTGTGCATTCGAGTAGAAGGTACGGCGCACAGGAGTAGACAACTTGCACTATGAACTGTAAGCCGAATTCTCCATTCACAGGTGATATGGCCTGATCCGCTATAATCATCTTGCTAAGTGGGCACGCAATAACCTATTCGTTGTGATCGTGTTTCCCCTTCGATTTGCTAGGCTTTGCTATCTCAGTGACAGTAGTAGGTGGGATGTAGTGTCCTCCCACTTACTGCGATTGAAACAAGTGACCATGTCAGCCATCAGTCAAACGCTCCCTTCAACTGGGAAAGGTAAGCGAGTGTTTTTTCTGCCACAGAGGCATTTGCTCAGTAAGGGCAAGCACTTGGTGAGCCCCGCAATGCAGCCATGACAAGCAGGTGTCGTGCCCATATTCTCACAATCCCAGGTAAACTAACGAAAACCACAATGGCGAGTCTTGTAGAAACGTGGTCGAGCCCCTAAACCCTGGGTATGTCGACAGGTCCATACTGTCTTGGCCACTGCAAAGGGGTCTGGAAGGATGGGTTCAAGCACCAACACGTCGATATATCTGCGACTGCCTCAAAAAAAAACTGTCGCAGTGACGGTCGTAGCTCACCCTTCTACAATGCGAGAAACGGAAGATAAACTGATCCAGCTGCCACTGGACCAATGAGTGCGAATAGCGGTGATAGATGGGGAATCAGTTGCAGCGTCGTACAGCCCATAGCGGACCAGTAGGTTACGAAGCTTGTGGTTGAATCTCGACGTACTGGCAGCAGATGTGACGCAAAGGGATCAGGCGAACCACGCACTTGGTCCAACGATTTTTCTGCCTATGAATTTCTCCGAGAATTGGAAGGAAATTCTAAACGAGACATTTGGAGAGCCGCACAGAATTGCAACAGCTTGCAGTGCATAGGACAGTAATGGAGCACCGAGTGCGTAAGGTTTGTGGTCATGACGTCCAACAGCTATAAGGAAATTATTCTGGGAGTCGACAGATATTGTGTTCCCACCTATTCTGCCGACTAAACCATTTTTGTCTGACAGATTGCGAAAAGAAAATCTTGGTATAGGACTGGCTACAATACGTGGTTTAACGCGCTCAACAAAAGAATGAACTGGTGGTTTGGGTTCACCTTTTATGTCACAGAAGTAACTGAACCGTTTGTGTGAATGGTGGGCATCATCGTTGATATCTAAATTTTATTTGTGGTAGCCCCATAATTCAAGCACCTGCCACAGCACCAAGTAGGTCTGCAGCTAATAAATGAAGTATGTTTCCAACGGGATGGCAATCCGTCACACTACGACTAAACTGTTCGCAAATATATGAGTGAAACATTCGGATATAGGGGAATCGGTCGAGGAGAGTCGCTTGACTGGCCATCCAGATCGCCACTGCTGAGCTCACCATAATGTTTTCCCTGTGGGCTTCTTGAAGCGGTGGCTAAAAGGGTACAACCAAATAATCGTCAAGAGCTACACCATCGAATATCGTGAACGAGTGTAGAAAGATAATTCACTAGGTTGTGGAGGTTATGATGGCCACTTCTTGTAAACAGATGTTCTTCGGGGCACATGTTCAACGTGCTCATTTCGGGTACGGTTTACCACAGTAGTTTTCCTAGTCGGAATTCACCACATTAATCCCGTGAACTGAGATACCTGGTGGACTGAGTGCACCGGATGTCACACAAGCGATAATTTGCTTTGACTTAGTCGCAGACACGTCGGTCGTGCGCCGGGGTTTTTCATCCATTGAGCCGCCAGCGAACTGTGCGGGATTTTCGGGCCCTAGCCAGGCGGACCGTCAACATTCGATCCGGGAGCCAACGCGAGTAGCTGACCTCATTCTTGGACTTGTGGGAATGCGGGTACGACATGGTGTTGCCATGCTCGTATTGAAGGGGCTCACCAAAAGGCAATTGGTTGGTGTTCTGGCTGTTCGGGTGCGTGCAGATTGTGGCGTTTGGATTGTGGCCATTAGAATCCCCTTGTGTAAATCAGTTTTTCAGGCCAGACCCTCGATATTCGATTCCTCCAGCGGTTTAGTGACTGTTCGCTAGCGGGTTACTGCACATGAAAACGTTCACGTTCAACTCATCGCAAAAATCTGAGTCAGTCGGTGGGGAAAATCAGTCATGTTTGATATGCTGCATGACCTATTTAACAGGGGAATATATGGACGTGCCCCATACTTTTCATCCCGAAAACTAGATAACATTTTTGGAGAATTTCCTGTGCACGACAGTTATTTTGTTTGCTCTCACAGGTGTTCAGTATCATCCGGAACTAATCTCCGAAGGAATTTCTTCATGAAGGTAAACTACGGTTTCGAAAACCAACGGTTGAATTTGTCTGGTATGGGTTCCCAAAAATAGGGAAAACTGTATCCCGATGCCGTCTTCAGCTAGCCTATCGGGTGTTGTCCAACCGAATGTAGATCCGCCGATCCAATCGCGCCACCATCCAGACCCTATGCCACAAAAGACGGAAAGATGCAACGTCTGCTGTACTCGATGGGCGGTGGAACGATCTATACAAAGGTAACTGCGGCCTTCCTGGGATGCCCAGCAGTATTGGAAACAGGTACTGTCTGCTCCAAGGCACGTGCATAGCTAGTCAAGTCACTCAATGTTGTCAGCCGATTGGAGTTTGATCGAGCCAGTTACGGGAGAGGAATTCGGCTGTAGGACCCGTTTAATGGGTAGTTCGTCCCCAGGTCTAAACAAGCCCACACCCATGACAGTCGGCCGGTTCAATGCCAGCGCGCTCGCTGGTTATTTCAACTTACTCTTATTATCTGGGGGTTGTCCGCCGCATCTGTATCGTGCTCTTTTCACCCTAGTTCCGAAAGTCCTAACTGCAACTTCACCGGAATAAGACCGAATCCCGTGTCATCTATGCTTGTCCGATGCTTTCGTAAGGTGCTTGCTGATCACTGGAGCCGTAGATTGAACTGCCCCCACTCCAGTTTGCATTTCTACATCAAGACGGTTGTTTGGAAGTTGCATCCCTGTTACATGCCCTGCTTCATCTTCAATGACTGCTTCTAACATCAGCTTGGCGTTTGTTGGTATCCCGAAAGCGTTTGATTCGGTTTCGCATGATACAAGCGTCAGATCTGCCGAGGTTTTTGGAGCGCCGTCACCTCTAGTTTGACACATCGCACAGTCCTATGAGAATGCTGTGGCATTTTTCCCGAATCCCGAGGTTCACTGCCACAGAGATGTAAGGGAGATTCACTCTCCCCATTTTTTTTCATCATGGCAATGGATGAGGCTCTTTGATTGTCGATGCCACAACTGGGATGCCAGTTCCATGACCTAGTGGACGGTTTTCCTTTGCTGACGACTGGGTCGTGTGTGCATAAAGTGAGGCTCACCCTAAAGAAAAGTTTGAAGCTGCTGTGGTCGAGTTGAGAAGAGCTGGTATGAAGATAAACGCCCAAAAGACGGGAGCGATGGTGATTTGTGTGGACAGGAAACATATGTCGACAGCAGTCTCAATCGAACAATTTTGCTTCGCCGAGGAACTCATCACTCCTCTGGGTCCGACTGACGCCGTGACATATTTGGATGCCCCATTTACTTTCAAGAGGAAAGGAGTTTTCAAAAACATCGACAGCAACTGCTCAAACTGCTCCATGAAATGACGCGTGCCCCGTTGAAGCCGCATCGAAGAGTGGAAATCACGAGGAACTATCTGATACCGAGGCTGACATATTCGCTCATGCTCGACCGAAACGCGCGCAAAAGGTCGGGCAATTACATCAGGCAATCGATTTGTAGCTGGCTACGTCTACCGAAGGACACACCGATCAGCTACATCTACGTCGGTAAACAACATGGGGGACTTGTTATTCCAAGTCTGAGTGCAACTATCCCGATGCAGCGGAGAGTATGGATGGAAAAGGTCCTTCCTACCCAGTGCCGAGTACTACGCAATGCGGTTGACAATTCCGCATTTGGCATGGTTGTTCGGGATCTCAGCCTCCTGGCCCGAGTCCATGGTACATGCGTAAACACCAAGGAAGGGCTGGTGACTGTTTGGAGCGACAGTCTGTACAACAGCGTCGACGGTCGTGGTTTACGAGATTAGATAGCTTCGCCTCTTTCGAACTGGTGGCTTGTATTTCCAGAACGAGTGATTCCTCGGCTGTTTATCCGCGGTACCCAGCTCCGATGCAACCTGCTTAGAACGAGAGGTAGAAGCGCTTGGTGTCATCATGGTGGCCAAACGATTCTGTCGTGGAAACTGTGGTCAACCGGGGAGTTTGGTGCATACTTCGTGATCCTGCTGGATCATGCATGATGCTAGATGTGGTCGCAATAATCGTATTGTAAGGGAACTCGCGAAACGTATCCATCGCCTGTGATACACCGTCTTCGAGGAGTTGAGAGCACCTATGTTGCCGTCCTCCATCAAGCCTGACCTAATAGCTGTTCACGATCACGGAGCAACTGTGGTAGAAGTAAGCATAGTCTCGGGTGAACAGGGAATGACTGTGTGAAATGAGACGAAGCAGAAGTATTGTGTAATGAATATGGTATAAATGTTCCGTCGCCATAATCTTAGCCTTATGTGTAATCGATCATGGTTTCGACTTTTTGGTTCACCAGCCGATGATCATTTCTTGTCGAGGGACCTCCTTTCCTCAGTCCGCCAAGGTTATTATTGGACTGTGACTTCCTAAGGTCACAGTGAGTGACTTGTGTTTGCTTGCTCTCTGCGTACTCACGACACTTTTAGGCTTGGCACATGACGTTGAGTGCAAATTCTTACCACTGGCTGTCACACCAGACCCAGAATGACGGACACTTTGTGCCTGATGGGCGAGTCTTTGCCTTGCTGGCGATTAACGCGCCTTGAAGAACATTCAGCATTGTTTGTCCTTTCTTAGGTTGTTGGTCTTTACATGCGTGTTTCCATACCAAACATCCCTACATATGTTGGGATTCATCTTTTCTGTCTGGAACTGTTGGTGGTATGACTTCGAACGAGACATTTCCCTCGTTTTATTCAATATTCTCCTGTAACCCTTCCACATCCATCGCTTGTATTTACTTTTTATGTATGTGACCATGCTCTTCAGTTGTGTAACCCAGCTGTTGTTACTTGACCAGGAAGTTGTGGATCTGTCCACCGAGCCTGGCAGTTGGGTTGCCCCTGTCACTAGTCGAGGTGGCATCTTCAGCACGCGGGAGTAATCCTCTTTGACTAGTCGAGGTGGCATCTTCAGCACGCGGTTGGGTGAGTAATCCTCTTTATGTGTACATTACTCAAAAATGGTTTGCAACGTGATCGGAAAAGAGAGAAACCCACAAATAAGGTTAGTTGCGTAAGTTGGCGTGCGACATATTGGACTACTGTGCACTTTGCAACCCAGATCGAGCCCGTTTCTCTATCCATTTTGTCTGGTTTTTGAACCTCAGCCTCAGAGGGACACTTTTGATAAAATAACCCATTGTCAAATCGAAAGAGAAACCTCTCCCGACAGGAAGCATATTATCCTGTTCAGAACAAAACACCTTAATGAACAGCTGTTTGTTCAAGCAGTACAGTGAAAATACGCCTACTACTGACAGTAGCAATGTTTTGGCCTTCTTCAACATGAATTTTGTACCTTCCGTGGACATTTCTAATTGAGCTGCACTTTGGGCTAAGCAAAGCACATCTCAAACTCGCTGCTGATTCCGGATTACTGATATAGTTAATACTAGACACCATTATCTTTTGTCTGAGTTGACTTTGGACACCAGTTATTGAACTCACCCGAACCATTCTCAACCACGGGGGTATATTTTACGTCAGTTTCACTTTAGAGCTCCAGTAACCGTCTATTCCCATTAACCGCGTTCACCCATAACCTTGTGTTTGAACAAAGGGATGCAGGATGAGTTCAGTCGATCTCAACACAGGACTACCACTTCAAAAAGATGACACAAGTAACCGGTTTCGCTCTTCACAAACGAGAGATTCAGCTGGGTTTCAGGTGAGCCTTCTGTCGAAACCAAATAGGTATGCAATTGAGTGTACTTCGCTGATCACTCAACTAGCCCTACAAAGGCACTCACGAAACAGTTTCGTACTGCTGCGATTATCTACTCAAACTTCAAGAAGTAACCCACCCCCAAAAGCAGAAAAATGAAAACATGAATCTCGGTCTTTATTGGAGAAGGTATTATACCAAGGAACAAGACAAATATTCGTACCAGTTCAGGTGGTTTCCGCCGAACAACAGTTCACTCTTTGCGAGACTATTTCAGGGTTTATCGAGTTCCTAAATAAAATTCATACATAGGTTGATTCAGGCGTCCATCTCAATATGACAAACTATCACCCCATTCAGCCACTCTTTTGATTTCGTCCCCGAAACATAGCGTAAACGGTATCTGGTTTTCGCCCGGTTTCAACTCCAAGTAGGGAAGAAACTGGCCACTGTTAGCACGCGGGACCCAACTACTCCATTGATAAACACCAGGGGATGCATATTTTACCTTGTTTACTTCTTTATTTACATGAGGAAATATTTTTCTCGGGTTGTAGACTTCGCTGGCTGACAGGAAGACGTACTGGGTGGTCCAGATTGTCAAAACCAGGTCAGAATAAAGATTGAAGAAGGATTGGGTTTTATGGGGTGCTCAGCTAAAACTAATTCAGATCTCTCGTTTATAAAGGATATGTTGTACACCGACTGCTTCATTTCGGTTGGGACAATATTCGAGGTGTTGGATACGCTCCAATACTACTCATAAGGTTGATGATACTCTGGACAGAGTCCACTTCCGGTTTCGCTCTTTTTAGATCTCATCAAGTTAGCTGGTCTACGAATTTCCGCTTTTTAATTGAACTTTAAATTGCTCGCATGTTATAAATAACATTTGTTTGCAAACCAAGCTTTTGCTGACGGGGAAGAGCAAGAATTCTCTCGAATCTCTCGTGCGTAATATTCTCCATTGTGACGTCGATATTGAAACATGCTTCAATATTTTCTACATCTTCCCGATTGAAATATGAAGCAGCTTTTGTACACCACCCTCATTTTAAGTATATTACGAAACAACACCAACTTGGCTTGGAAACGAACGCTTGTTGTAACCTACGTACAATGAAGAAATGCACTTGATTGAAACTCGGGCCTACCTGATAAAAACAAGAAGAACGACCTGAGGGACTGGCCGTCTTGAAAGCAATCCCATGCTTTACTGAGTAATCTTCTGGTAACTGAACCAGACCTTCCTTTGAGTATTCTTTTCCAGTTTACTCTTCCATGCCCAACCCCAAGGCATCCCCAACTGCTCACGCAATGCTTACACATTGTTACGGAGCACACCAGCGGATGCGTGATATGGACCGATTAGACTGACAACTGGAGCATTGAATACTCCGAACAACTGAAGTGAACGATAACCGGTGAACTAGTTGTTGTGTCTCAGCTCTCCTAACTCGACTCACTCACTTGGGGGAGCTCAAAAACTCTCGTAATTGAACGTATCCGTGAGTTGCCGAACCGTCCAACTCATGAAACTCCCAAAGATCGCTACGAGATTCTCTCAAAGCGTCTGAATGCGCATAAGCTCATGAAACTTCAGGTATGCTCCTAAACGGACTG